AAAGCAGCCGTTGACTCTCAATTGATTATTGCCCACGCTGAGCAGGCTGGTCGAGCGTCCTGCCCCGCGTGGCATCGTCGGAGACGAGGTCGTCGAACAGCTCCACCGGCGGCGCGGTGAGGTTCTTGTCCCACAGCAGCACCTCGGGCAGCCCGTACTGCTCCACTTGCAGCATCCGCGGCTCCAGCTCGCTCGAGCCTCGTTGCTCTGCGACGAGGCGGTCCACTGCGTACTTTGAGGTGACGCCGTCGGCAAACGAGACCCGAAGCTCGTCGCCGACCATGGACGCCGTCTCGACAGCCGGCGTGTCAAACTCGTGCGGGTTCTTCTTGGGCTGGAGCGTCTCCTCGCAAACGCACACCGTCCCCGTCTGGCAGCGCTCTCGCAGCCACTCGGCGTGGAAGGCGACACCGTGGGAGGGGAGCGAGACGACCTGCCCGTCGATCACCTGCGGGTCGAGCGCGCCAGCCAGCAGCGCTGCGACGAACGGAGCGATCGCGAGGGGTGCAACCACCATCATGGACGGTTCCGACTGAATTTCCGACAGAATCGAAGGATTGGGGCTCCTGGTGTGTAGGGGCTCTCGTCGATTTTCCTGAGAAAGAAAGATAATAAGATCAAATCAATAGGATGCGGATCGGTTTGCGGCCTGTGACATGGGAAGATAGATCGAGATAGTGAAAGAATGCATATACGTGTATGTACGTCAAGATAGAAAGATAACATCACTGATCAACACATGAGGGGAGAGACCGGGAGAGGGGCTCGGCGCGAAGGGCTAGTGGCCGGACGCAGCGAGTAGGGAGGAGCTTGTGCTTAAAGTGGCCTCTATTGCCGGGAGGGACGTCATCACGTCAAAACTCCCGAAGGGTTTCCATTTTCTCCTTAAATTTCTTTTTTCGTGCTGTTTCATGCATATGTGCAGCTGCTCGAGCCGTTGCTTCGCCCGGTCGCTCGCAGCCGCACACCCTTCGCCGCGACGCCTCGCAACTCCATAAATGCGCCCATCGCCACCGCGGGCAACTCAGGTCTCGCCGATGTCCCGCCCGGATGAGCAGAACTACACGTCGAGGCTGCCGAGCGAGCTGAGCCTTCACGTGCTGCGGCGCCTCGGCCCGTGGGACCTCGTCGCCGCCTGCCGCGCGTGTGCCGCGTGGGATCACATCGCGAGGAGCGAGGGGATGTGGCGGCACGCGTGCGATTACCGCTGGCCGGAGCGGTCTCGCGCGACGCCGCCGCTCCGCGATGGCGACGGCGCGCCGCTCGAGATGCCGCCCTGGCACCGCGCCGCGTGGCCGCACCGGCTGGCGGAGCTGAGCGAGCTGCCGCGGCATGTCAAGCTGCTGCGACGACCGCGCGCGGCCGCTCCGCAGGTACGTCACACGGCCACCAAACGCCGTAGAGCTAGAAGCAGTAGACCCGAAGGCCCGCTCCATGAGCCTGATCCCGTTGCAGCCAGCTAGAGACGAGGCCAAGGGTAGATGCGATTCCGAAGGCGCCG